CTGCGGGGCTCTGTTGGGCAGCCTCGCAGGCGGCTGCTGCCAAGGGGAGCGCTTTAGTTTTACATGATGACCTTGGGTGTGGGAAAAGGAAAAGATGGCGGGAAGCTGGGGGGTGGGACAGGGACGATGACATGCCGCAGCTGCATTTTTATTTGGAAACTTTGGAGAAAGTGTTCTGGGCTGGACCTGCGTTGTGGGTTACAGATGAGCACGACTAGCCCTTTTGATACACCCTCCCCCTTTAGACAGTGATGAAGTGATGAATTGAACTAATAATACGGGGATACCTGCTCACTTTCCAGATCTCCCGTGTTGTAAAGCCATTTTTTAATAAGCCAAAACGCATCAACAATAGTGACAATTTCACATATCCCCTACATATAGTTCTCCTGCTTTGGTCTTGTGTTCAGCAGTGGTAAGAGTTGTTATTTTTAATTGCGTAACAGCAGATGACCAGATAGTCTTAAGTCATAGATTTCAAGCTTCCATCACCCCTACCAAATGTGTCCTCTCTGTGCCCTTCCCACTTTGTGATTGTAGTTTCCAAAACGTAGCAGTTCTGTAAACGTAACGCTGAGTACCCTACTTGGGTCGGCTCCATTTGAAGAACTTGATCGCTCTTGAGAAGTAACTCGCAAACCAGCGCGCTTCGTGCTGGTCAAAAGTTAAATGACAAGCGACAGTGAAGCTGATTTCTTTCCCACTCTGCCTTCTGCCACTGGTGTCGGGCACTAGGGGAAGGGGACTTCCTAATAGCAAGTGTAGTTTTAATTTTGCTCTGCCTTTGGTACATCTTGTAGTTCTTGTCAATTCCTCCTTACTTTTCCTCATTGTATTTCTTTGTTTCTCTTCTGTCACAGTCAGGATGGCTAAAGGTGACCCGAAGAAACCAAAGGGCAAGATGTCTGCTTATGCCTTCTTTGTGCAGACGTGCAGAGAAGAACATAAGAAGAAAAACCCAGAGGTCCCTGTCAATTTTGCAGAATTTTCCAAGAAGTGCTCTGAGAGGTGGAAGGTATTTTTCTTTTGTACCCTTCAAACTAGTCTTAGTTGGGTTTCTCACTTTGGGGTTACTTACCTTCAGAGTTTCTCCCAGATGGCTGCTTGCTTCCTCTTTTACTTTTACTTAGAATCATTTTGCTTAAGAATTTTGTGTGTGTGCTTTTATTTTTTTAAGGCCCTGCACAGGTTTCAGGCCTTTACCTACCCCCCTTTTGCAAGTGGTTCTAGCAACTGCCACTTAAATCACAAGAAACTGAATAGGTATATGTCACTGCATCGAGGGATTTAACGAGTCCTGTTCTTTGCAGACGATGTCCGGGAAAGAGAAATCTAAATTTGATGAAATGGCAAAGGCAGATAAAGTGCGCTATGATCGGGAAATGAAGGATTATGGACCAGCTAAGGGAGGCAAGAAGAAGAAGGATCCTAATGCTCCCAAAAGGCCACCGTAAGTGACTATAGGATTCAGGATAACAATTAATACCTTTTCTTCTGCTTGGAGGATTTGGTTTTTTGGTCGTCCTGTATTTCATTTCAAAATGAAATATTTTTTAAAAGATACTTAAAAGATGGCGATACCTCTGCAAATCATTCTGTACTTGGGCTTTACGATGCAGTGCCAGCGTTGTCTGTGGTTAAGGCTGAGGTGTTTGTGGGCTGTGCGTGCACATTCACAGTGGTTGTCTATTGGCCTTTCCATTGTGAAGGAGACACCCCAGTTTTGGTTGTCAGGGTCCTTGAAGTATGTTCTTTATGCCTTTCCCAGTAATTGAAGGACTGAGACAGTACTGTGTGTGTGTGTGTGTGTGTATATATATATGCGCGTATATATACGCATATATATTATATATGCATATATACACACATACACACACACACACATATATATATGTATTTGAGATGCAGTTTCGCTCTTGTTGCTGAGGCTGGAGTGCAAGGTGTGATCTCGGCTCACTGCGACCTCTGCCTCCTGGGTTCAAGTGATTCTCCTGCCTCAGCCTCCCGAGTAGCTGGGATTACAGGCATGTACCACCATGCCCGGCTAATTTTTTAATATTTTTAGCAGAGATGGGGTTAATATTTTTAGCAGAGACGGGGTTTCTCCATGTTGGTCAGGCTGGTCTGAAACTCCGAACCTCAGGTGATCTGCCCGCCTCGGCCTCCCAAAGTGCTGGAATTACAAGCGTGAGCCACTGCGCCTGGCCTAGCACCATATATTTTTCTAACCTTATACATTTGAGAACCTACAACTGTGTAGCATTGTATGTGGTATCATAGATTACTTCACTTTAGGGAGAAGTCATAGTGGTAGGAGGGAGTGCTACTCAGGAATGTGGGATTTCAACTTAAACTCACATTTTTGTGGTTTCTCATGTAATTTATGTAATTCTTCCAAGGTCTGGATTCTTCCTGTTCTGTTCAGAATTCCGTCCCAAGATCAAATCCACAAACCCCGGCATCTCTATTGGAGATGTGGCAAAAAAGCTGGGTGAGATGTGGAATAATTTAAATGACAGTGAAAAGCAGCCTTACATCACTAAGGCAGCAAAGCTGAAGGAGAAGTATGAGAAGG